AAACGGTCACAGAAAATGCGCCTTCTCATTCATAGACGTTCTCTGCATAGACGTTCTCTGGCATAATTTATAAATTTATCTTTTTTGTAAGCACCCTGTGCCGATTTGGCAAAGTTCACCAATAGTTGAATAACTCCCATGAAACACGTCGGACAGATGTCGCTTTATTTTTTGTTGCGAATTTTCCTTTTATTCGATTCGTAAACAATGACTGCAACAAGCGAAACTGATGAAAAAATATCTTTAACGCTTTTAAATGGCACTGGATATGTTTTTAACGTGAACGGTAAACATATACCTTAACTAGGATTGCTTAGGTAATAAACAGATTCATGATTATCCTTAACAGACTACATCACATTGCGACGGAAGCACCGAATTGTGGGCGCGCTGGTGGGCACGTGCAGCATCCGAGGCTGGTCGGCGAATGATTGCAGTAAGTTGGAGAAATTTGAGATAAATAACTACAGTTAAGCTCCTTCCTTAGCTTTACCACTGGAGCTAACGCCGCATGAGACACGCTTTCTGGTGGAGCGAGGCATTGCTCAACTAGTTTCCAAGCAAGAATCTTTACTGCGGGTACCAGAAGCTAGCGAGCTTGTTCAGTATCATGAGCAGTTGGAAGCAGGCTTCACTGCACAGGCGGAGATATTAAAGGTTCAAAAGTTGCAAGAGACGGAACGCAACATAAGCAATATACTGGCTGGGAAGCGAAAAAAGCTGTTAAGAGAAGGAGTAGTGGAAGCTGGTAACAAAATTTTAAAATCATTTCAAAATAATATCCTACTTGTAGTTCATTTTCTTTACAGATATTAAACTAGATGCTGCGCAGATACTGCAAGAAATAGCCGATAATTTCGTTTTTGATCGCAGAAATGCGCAACTGGAAATTGCTTGCGCGCATCCACAGCCACATGGTAAGTACGTACATAAGGCCTGTTCGAGGCACATAATAAAAGCGGTATTACTGCTGTCTGATGGAAAATGACAACATTGTTGCAAATGCCCAACTCATAATACATTGCTGGGAATTCGCGCAACCCTGCGGTTGTGATTGCAGTTCGAACAAGCCCATACTTTTAATACTTTCTTATTTTCATAATGCGCCAATTAAAAAAATATGTAAATATTTCAGCAAATAAAACCGTGGAGCCGCCTTCTGNGGTACGAGTAGAGAAAGCTGATGCAAAATAATAAACAGTAGCAAATCATAAAACTTACGAAAATGGCAAAAGTTGAGAGATTCAGTTTTAATTAAATTCTAATCACTTTGTCCTTTGTATGTAATTACATATTCAAAATTCTGTTAATATAATTAAACTGAAAAACAGGTATTGCCATGCCCTGCATTTGTATAAATATATGCCCATAAGAAATTTCATTAATAACGTTCGAACTCATTTCTAATCTCTCCTCCTGGCGAAATATGTTCTCTCGGAATTCAGAACATCTGCGGCACATTCTAACAGTAAAAATAAGTGCCTATAAGTGCCGTATTTACGAACACTGAAAGGGCATAAAAAGCAGAACGGCGCTGCATCAATCACTGATCTTGTTCAGATATACAACTAGGTCCAGGTTACGTAGCTCTGGGTCGGAATAGCGACATTCGTGATGGAGAGTTTACTCGTTTTAAATCGATTCTTAAATCAACAAGAAATGCTCAGTAAGAAGTTTCTGGTAGGATGCCACAAGCGTGAGCCCCTGCTTGAGGAGGAGCCTCAACCCAGGCACGTTAGAGGCATCTCTTCAATACATGGTTGCGGTCCAGACATATCGACCAACCATTGGACCCGACGACCTACCGACCATTCCCACGACAGCCGGTTCTACGTACCGGAATGACTCGGGTTTACCCGACCAAGGGCTGTTGTTTCGGCGATCTAACCCCGTTTAGGTCGGCGAAGTATCTCAGAAGTTGTTCGTCCATAGGGCTACATTCACTACGCAT